CATTCCTGTAGCCTTGATCTAACTGACTGTACATTAGGATCTTGGGTATCCTGTCATCAGACATTCTCAAGACATGACCAGTCCACCGTAACTGAGACTGTATGATAAAAGTCTCGATTCCGCCAATATTACATATATATTCCTCCAATATTACACACACACTCACACACACACACACACATATATATATATGAATGTATATGTGATTATATTGCATATCACGCGCTTTTATGTTTTTTATATGTAGTTGGATGTATGATTATCTTGCCGAGTTATACATCATCTATAATTCTAAATTAGTATCTTTAGCATTATTATCTATATTTTAATGTACTTATAAATGAATTATTTAAAATAAGTAAATTAAAGTAATTTTAATAAAGAATAATAAAACCTAAAAAATAAAAGAATATAAATTCATTGAAATATAGATAATAATGCTAAAAATACTATTATTATTATTATTATTAAGGTCTTCTTTATTAGACTAACTAAATTGAAATTGTGTTGATTTGTCCTGCATAAAATAATAGTCCACATCAGGTAATTTGTTTTATCACCTGATGTACAAATTTCCACACTTTAAAAAAAATTCTTGGTCATGCCATTCTATTTTAGTTTTACTACTATCCCATCATTTCTTCAATTTTCCTTCCTTTATAACCTCTCCCTCTCTCTCCCCCTCCCCCTCTATCTCTTTCATGATTTAAAAAGAATATTATAATCTGTTATTTTTCTTACTTCCTCTCCTTCTTTCTTCGTCTCCTTCTTTCTTCCCTTCTCGCTTGCTTTCTCTTTTATTAATCTAGTATATCAGTCCGGAGAAATTATTTAAGAACTTTCGGTCTGAAGATATGAATATATAGAAATATTCACAAAATAAATTAGAACCGAAATGGATCTGTATTATTATTTTTAAGATTTATACAATTCTTATAAAATATTTCTTTCCACAACGGTTTCTTTCCGATTGATCAGACACGGCCGAGTGGAACTGATTAAGGAACAAACGCGATAAGCGACAAACAACGATAATCCAGATATAGAGAGATAAGGAATATCAAAACATACAAACGGAAAGAAAATTGAAAACGGGCAAAACAAACAAACAAAAAAACGATATATCAAAAATAAACATTGTGAACAAAATAGTGGGAGGGGAACCTATACACTCAGAAAGGTAAATTACAAATCAACATATGATCTTGTGCCACACTCGTACAAAGTTATGATCATGTGCCACACTTGCACGAATTTACAAAACATGGAAAGGTAAAACAAGCAGAATGAAACATGTAGTAAAAAAGGATCTCATGCCAGGCTTGCATGAAAGTACAAACATAAAAAATACATTAAACAAAATGAAAACATAAGAGAAACAATGAACTTATCTGGTCATTATAAATATTCTTCTTTTTCTTTACTGCCTCTTATATGTATGTCTTCTTTTCCTTTCTTTATTTTTAGATTTTTTTTCTCTCTTTTTGCAAGCGTCTCTTTTTGAGGTTTTTTCTTTCTTTTTCCTTTCATCTGGTTTTGAATTTTCCTAGAGGTCTTACCTCTGTTTCTCTTTTCGTATAAGCGTCTCCTTTGAGGATTTTTCTCTTTTTCTTTTTTTCTTTCGCCGAGTCTTGAATTTCCTTTCAGGTTTTTCCTCTCTTTTTCTTTTCGTATAAGTATCTCTTTTTGAGATCTTTTCCCACTTTCTTTTTCTTTTCGTCTGGTCTAGGGGCTTGAGTAACGAATCAATTGAAGCTGTCTTCTTTCTCTTAGCTTTCATGAAAATACATATCTTTCTTTCGTCTTGACGTAACAGCATTTCTCGTACGCCGGACTTTGTTTCCTTGAATCCAAATACTTCTTTCGCGTATCCAAATCTATAGCTGATTATCTCACTTTTAGCCGATCGTCCGCTCAGTTCGAAGAGGGACTTTTTTTGCATGACCAGTTTTATAACTGACTAGCAGTAGAGCCCGGCGTTGCCCGGGGATGTTACAATATGAGATAGATCACGTAACGACCATCATAAAGACTGAAAAATAAAATTGACGAAGATTATTGTTTAAGGTTGACGAACACGCATGTCTTAATTAGTTTGTTTTTTGTTTTGTTTTTTTTTGTTTTTTTTACGAAAACTCAAACTCAAACATTGTTTTCAATCGTTATGAGTCTACGGATTGAATAGAATTTTATTATAAACAATTGTCTTGTAAATGGAATTTTTAAAGCATTCTGAATGTAAAAATAAAGAAAAAAGTGTGCAAGACAATAAGAAACATTACCTGCCAAAAAAAAGTGAAGTTTTGTTGAAATCGGTTGAAAAATGTAGGAAATCCGATCCCATATATAAACGAACACACACACACACACACACACACACAAACAACCTGGGTTTTATAAGTATAACTCGATTTGAGTTGTCACCCTTTCATTCCGCGAAAACGATGCCTCTTAATCGTGTTTTCAAATTGATTTCGTGCAAAAACAATTGTGTTTTTCCAATTTTTGGCGCTGTCAGAACCACCGCAAGGTAATTTTACGTAGTCCTGTGAAGTTTTGTTGAAATCGGTTGAAAAATGTAGGAAACCCGATCCAATATATAAACGTACAGACACACACACAACCTGGGTTTTATAATAAGTATGATTATCGCCTTCATAGCCGTCTGTCCAGTTCCATTAGAAAATCGAAGATGGACTAACTTTTGCATACCCAAATACTTCTTTCGCATACCCAAATCTATAGCTGACTATCGCAGTCATAGCAGACTCGTCCTTCCAGCTCGAAGGCTTGGACAAGGACGTTTTTTTTTCACATAACCATCACAGGACCATCGTATCTATAGCGGACCCGTCCGTCCAGCCCGATGGTTTGGACAGGGACTAAATTTTTGTTTCGCTGTTCATTTATTTTTTTGTTGTTTTATTTTATTTTATTTTTTTCATCACATGGTCCTTGATTTCCAAATATGAACCTTTTTCCTGTGTGAGCGAAATGAGGTCAAGCATTGATATAGCTTTTATAATAAATTTAGATGAGGGTTCGTAACAATATATATATATATATATATATATATATATATATATATATATATATATATATATATATGTATATACGTGTATATGTTATTGTGTATGTGTGTATTCGTATGTGTGTTTGAACATAGAAATATAAGTCCTTGCTAGATTAGATAATCGTTATATTTATTTTTTATATGTTTATATTTGATTTGTAACCTGTAGTCGATATTAAATTTGTCAAATTTTCTGAATTACACAGCGACCCTTTCAGTAAATGTCGTTCAAGTTTACTTTCCTCGCCCCATCTCTCTCCCCCACCTCGTCTTTCCCTCTCTCTTATTCTGATCTTCAACATTAGATCGTCTATGGTGTGTGTATGTCACCACGAAATGTATCTTTATGCATTAGACATCCGACAACATTCATATTTCTCTTACTTAAACCCCTTCCACTCACCTCTCCTAAAATTCTCTCTGTTAAGGTTTAATCTCCCTCCTTCTCTGGTATGTTACCCCTAATACTTACACTCACTCTAAATTCTGTTTTTATTTCCGGAGTTGTTTTTTCTGTTTTCTTTTTGAATTTGTAGGTCTGATGAATTGTATCGTATTTACGATTCCAATGGAATAAATTATGACCATGGAGTATTAGTGTTTAAGCCTTTTTATTATATCCTTACTCTGTCCTGGACATTGAGTTCTACCTGGATTCTATCCTCTTGGAATTTTTATTCAAAAAATATACATGTATGGGTATTTATATATTTTGCATATGTATGTATATTTACCACCAATATTATATATATATATATATATATGCTTGTGTGTGTGTGTGGGTGTATACCTCTAAAAAATTAGCATACAATCACAAAAATCTCCCAAACTCAATAAAAACTAAATTTATCTTATTATTAAAAGGAAAGACCAAATGATTATTTTATTAAAAAATTATATTTTTTATCCTTTTTAGAACGTTCGAAATTTTCATGAAAAATTTGTTTTTTCTTGCGTGATCAGGGGGACCAAAAATTAGCATAGGAAAGTTTAACGTCTTTTTGTGATGAAAAACACATTGATTTGAAAATTCTTACAAAAATCAAATAGTTGTCGGATTTTAAAAAACTTTCAGGACTTATTCCCAAACAAATTAAATTATTTTAGAATTTTTTTCTAGAAAATCTTATCGACCGGCCACACGATGCTTTGTTTTAATTAGACAGTCGGATTCCCCGGTCCGTACCAGTTCCGAGTCGACCGTTCGCTGCCGGACGAACGCCCCCACGCCGAGAGAGAGACGCTGAGCAACGGGCGGGACGGGCGCGCGTGCGAGCCGCCTGCGCGCGAACGCAGGTTGAGGCCTACACGCGCCGCTTACCCGAAGAGGGGCTGGAAGCCGTGGCGCTCCACGAAGACCCGGGCGAGGAGCCGTTTTGCTCGCCGGCCGACGCGCCGGTAGCGACGGGGTGGCGCCGCGAGCGGAGACCCGTAGCGCATGCGACACGCGAGCCGCGCGAAACGGGAAAGGGGACAGAGAAGGGAGCGGAAGACGACGAGCGTAGGAAGCGGCGAAGAACGGGTTGACTCGGGGTTCGTGAACGACGCATCGCGCGCACAGACGGACGACCCGATATGAGCCGCCCAGCCAGATGCACGAACGCGAGCGCCCGTCGCCCCGACCCGAAAACCGCCGCCCCATGCCGCCGAACACCGCCTAGCCCGACCCTGCGACCCCCGACCCGAGCACGACCGCGACGCCGCGACGCCGACGGACCGCTACGACACCTTTGACCCGCGCCGCAAAGCGCGAACGGAGCGAACGCTACAGCCCCGTACCGGTTCCTCGCTTCGCGCGGGCACGGCCCGACCGACCCGGTCCTCGGAGCCAATCCTTCTTCCGAAGGTACGGATCCATTTTGCCGACTTCCCTTACCTACATTGATGCCATCGACGAGAGGCTGTACACCTTGGAGACCTGCTGCGGATGGTGGGTACGGACCGACTCGAGAGCTGCGAAAACCGGACCCGGATTTTCCAGGGCCGCCGAAAGCGCACCGGACGCCGCCCGAGCCGCGGCGCTCTACAGGTACCTTTTCCGTATCTCCGGACGAGCCGATTCCACGGACACGGTCCTTTACGAAGAAGAGAGAACTCTTCCCGGGGCTCTCGGCGACGTCTCCGGGCTCGCTTGCGTCACCGCGGTTTCGCCCGAGAAGCGACGAGACGCCACCGACATTGCTGCCAGCAGCGCCGCCACCCCCGGGCACTCTCCGAGTCCGGGTTCGGGAATATTAACCCGATTCCCTTTCGACGGAAGGCCGGCCGCTCGTCCTTTGTTAGCGTCGTCGTTTTGTTGTTTTCGAGGACAACAAACGAGTGTGACAGACTTACGGATCCGGCGCCTTTCGGGAAGACTTTCGCCTGCGTCTTAGGACCGACTGACCCGTGCTCGACCGCCGTTGGCACGGAACCCTTCTCCACTTCGGTCTTCGAAGGTCTCGTTCGAATATTTGCTACTACCACCGAGATCTGCACCCGCGGTCGGCTCCACCCGGGCTCGCGCCCTAGGCTTCCGTGCTCACCGCGGCGCCCTCCTACTCGTCGCGGCATCGGTCAGGCGCGCGCATCGTTTTCGTCAGCGCAAGCGCTCCTCGCCGCGACGGTCCGGCATCGGTCCGTCGCTCCAGCGCCATCCATTTTCGGGGCCGGTCGATTCGGCAGGTGAGTTGTTACACACTCCTTAGCGGATTCCGACTTCCGTGGCCACCGTCCTGCTGTCTATATCGACCGACACCCTTTCGGGGATCTCATGGGCGTCGCGTTAGGCACCTTAGCCGGACGTTTGGTTCATCCCACAGCGCCAGTTCTGCTTACCAAAAGTGGCCCACTTGGCACTCGCATTCGTTTCTGCCGCCGTCGAGACGACGAAGGCGGCAGAGAAGTGGGACGGCTCCGTATTCGGGAGAGTCGACCCGTTCCACCCGTTCCGAGTTCGAGAGTAGGTCGAGGCCGTGAACGGCCCCGGGGCCTCCAATCGTTCGCTTTACCGGATGGAATTGCGACGATCGAACGCCAGCTATCCTGAGGGAAACTTCGGAGGGAACCAGCTACTAGACGGCTCGATTGGTCTTTCGCCCCTACACCCGGTTCCGACGATCGATTTGCACGTCAGAGGCGCTTCGGACTTCCACCAGAGTTTCCTCTGGCTTCATCCCGACCGGGCGTGGATCGCCATCTTTCGGGTCCCTGGCCGCTCGCTACGCCAGAGTCGGCCGAGTCGTACTCGGAGAAAAAAATTACCGACCCGGGGGGTGATGCGCCCGCGCGCAGCGCCTAAACTCGACGACCTAAATCGTGACTAGTTCAAGCCGCGGGATCTCACCGGTGGGCGGTGGGAGGAAAGTTTGAGGCTGCACCCCGCCGCGAACGAACCCCGTGAGTTTTCCCCCGCCACAAGCGCCTGAGCCCCCTGCGTCATCTCCCGGCGACGGGAAAATCGTGGAGGAACCGATACGGGACGGACGGAAGAAAAGAGGGAAACGAACGACGGGACGAAGACGGCAAGCGCCGGCGGAATCGGGCACGGCTAGGCAGGCGGAAGGAAGCGAGAAACTCCCCGCCGGAACCGCTTTCGCCGCGACACCTCTCCCAGAACCGGTGCCCCCCACGCGCTCTCTCGCTTTCGCTGCGCCTTCGGGGTTCTTCGGGGCCCCTACGACTCGCGAACGGCCAGGACTCCTCGGTCCGTGTTTCAAGACGGGTCGGGTGGGTTGCCGATGCACGTCGCGGACCCGGGTGACGGGCGGCACAGTGAGACGCCGACCTACCGCGCTGGCAGTGCCCTCCCGCGCGCCCAGATTTTGGCGTCCGGACGCGGAGAAGACGACGCGACGAGACGACGTCGCGCGCCGGCACGGGAATCGACGCGGCCGCGCCGGTTTCGAAGCTCCCGCGAACACTGTCCCGCGCGCGCCCGAGACGGTGGGGCGCCGAGGGCGCGCGAAGCGCCGCGCGGATCGTCCGACGAGAAGAAACCGGTTCGCCACGTGTAACGGATCGCGTTTTCGTTTCCTCCGTCCCCGGCAGAAGGGGCAGTACGCTCGCGGGCCCGACAGAAGACGCCTCCGCCCCCCCCGACAAGCAGGTGGGGTGGAGTTTAGAGTGCGCCTTCCGCCTACGGACACCGCGCGTCGACCTGCACGCCGGGAACGGGTCGCGACGACGGACCGGAGGGGAAGTGCGTCCGGTGCCGGCCGTGCGGAATGTGAGCGTCGCGCCGAAGCGCCCGCGCCATATGATGCCGAGCGAAGGAAAGGTGCGGGTGATCGCGAGGAATGGAGAGGAGGAGCCACGACGGCAGCGACGGCGGCCACGGCGGCAGCAGCAGCAGCAGCGACGCGAATCGCCGCCACAGCGGCGGCAGCAGCGACAGCGGCGACCGCCGCGCTCTCCTCGTTCCCCGCGGCCCGTCTCTCCCGTCGGCGACGCGAGCGCAAAAGCAGAATCCGGAGGGCGTCGAGGTCGAGTTGCCGGCGGCAGAGCTGCCGACAAACTGCGTTCCCCGCCGGTGACCCCCAGAACGACGTCCGCGCCGGCCTGAGATGGGCGCCGCCGCCCGAGCGAAGCCCGGGCAACAACCAAATCGAGTTTGGGCCACGTTCGGCAGCACCGGACTGAGTCCCCCGCGATCGCGGTGAGCGGTCCCACCCGTTTACCCCTGGGCGGTTTCACGTTCTCTTGAACTCTCTCTCCAAAGTTCTTTTCAACTTTCCCTCACGGTACTTGTCGACTATCGGACTCGTCCCGGTATTTAGCCTTGGATGGAGCTTACCACCCGATTTGGGCTGCGTTCCCAAGCAACCCGACTCTCGGATCGAAGGCCGTCGCTCGCCGTCCGCACCGAATGGGCCTGGCACCCGCCGCGGGCGGCCCCGATCGAGGGAACTCCGAACTACGCGAGACGAAAACGAGCGGCTGCCTTCGACCCATGCGCCACACGTCCCGAAGCCTTTTACTTGCGACGGGATTCGGCGTTGGGCTTCTCCCGGTTCACTCGCCGTTACTAAGGGAATCCCGGTTGGTTTCTTTTCCTCCGCTTAGCGATATGCTTAAGTTCAGCGGGTCGTCTCGTCCGAGCCGAGGGCGGCGGTGTTTGAGGTAAGACAGCAAAACGCGACCACGCACTGTGACGGCAGAATACGGCGGCGGCGGCGGCACAGACTGGCTTCGAGACGCCCAAGGTTTGTATTTCGACCTCCGAGAGCGAAACGATGGTGCTACCACTGTTGCTGTTTGCGCGTGGCCGTAGTCAACGTTTTGCAATCTAGGACTGCTCGCGGTCGTAAGGGAAGCGACCCGCGGTCTTCAAGCGGGAGACGAAGGAGGAGAAAATTGAAGCAGCAGGCTCCTCCTGCGACGTCCCGGTTTCCTCCGCGTAAGAAACGGGCAATTCTTTCATGAAGAAAGAACGACGCGGTGGACGGTGAGATGCCTCTCGACTATCAAGTGAGAAGACATGCCATTTTCCGCCTCTCGACCGGACGGGGCCCCGAGACAAGGGATCTCGAGGCCGCAATGTGCGTTCGAGGTGTCGATGTTCACTGAGTCCTGCAATTCGCATCAGTTCTCGCGGCTGGCCGCGCTCTTCATCGACGGACGAGCCGAGTGATCCCCCGTCCAGGGTTTTGTTTTGGTTAGTTTTTTTTTTCGTGACAGGTTAAAAAAAAAAAAATGTGTGCGAGGAGAAGCAAGGAGGCCGAGTTGATACGCGCGCGACCGAGACGGTAGCAGTCCACAGCAGACTGGCACCCCGGCAACCACCACAAATTTGTCGGGGACATAGACGGCGGCCAGGACCGTACACGTGACCACGTCGACGTCGGCGGGAGACGGAGGCTGGTCGGCGGCATCCGTCTCGCGATCGTGGCCGGCGGTAGCGGCAGCGCTCCTCGAATCGCGTGCGCATCTATCCGAACTCGACCTCCCCGCACAGGGACGTAGAGGCGGCAGCAGCGGCGGCGGCGGCGGCGGCGGCGGCGGTACGTGAAACGGGACGGCTGGACGTAATACGGCTGGAGACGGGCGCCCGTCTCGCGCAGAGAGCAGAGGATATTTTTGTCGGACGAGTAGGAGGAGGAGGAGCAGCATCAGCAGCAGCAGACGCAAGGAGGCGAGGCCGTCCATGCGACGGTGGCGCGGCCATTTTTTTTTGACTGCTGCCGCGAAACGAGCGCAAGCTTTCCCCCCCACCCTGTTTCGCCGACGAATAACGTGCTACCCGCGACCGACCAGTCGTGACGGCGGCGGTCTCTTGACGGCGGTACACGCCGCTCGCTTGTTACGAGTCCCAACCGACGAGTCGTCTCCCAAATATACGGCGGGGAGATAGCGAACTCGACGGCGTTTCGAAAACGAACGGACACGACGACATGCGCGGAGTCATCGATAATGATCCTTCCGCAGGTTCACCTACGGAAACCTTGTTACGACTTTTACTTCCTCTAAACGATCGGGTTCGGTCGTCTTCTCCAGGCATCGAACGCCGAGGCGAGTACGACACGCGCGTGAAACGGCGGCGGAGACCGCAGCCGCTGCGCCACGTGCACGCTGCCCGGCGGCGTCGTCGGCCAGATCCGAGGACCTCACCGGACCGTTCGATCGGTAGTAGCGACGGGCGGTGTGTACAAAGGGCAGGGACGTGATCGACGCGCCGACGGCCGCCGCCCGACGCTCTCCCGACGCCGACAAAGTCGTGTCTCCCGCCTATGCTACACCTCATGTGTCTCCTCACAGAGTCGGACTAGAGTCAAGCTCAACAGGGTCTTCTTTCCCCGCCGATCGTTCCAAGCCCGTTCCCTTGGCTGTGGTTTCGCTAGATAGTAGGTAGGGACAGTGGGAATCTCGTTGATCCGTTCATGCGCGTCACTAATTAGATGACGAGGCATTTGGCTAACTCACAACCACCGGCCGAGGAAGTGCGCTTAATATCTTCAGTCGGTACACCCTCTCAGCCTACCAATGGGGTGTCGTTGGTCCCCAAAAACGTTTCCCAAATGCTACCTCGGGGAGGTGGGGTGCGTTCTTGCCGTCATCTCGGGCGGGGGGTCGGAAAATTCCCTTTAACCTAAGAAGGTTAGGTGAGTTAGTCCCTTGCCGATTATGAAGTTACCTTCAGCGCCGGCACGGAGTATGCTACGGTCTCTGTTTTGTCAGGCATCTCATAAAGCTACTCATAAAGCGCAGTCCATGAGTACCTCAGCCGACGCCGCCGGGCGTGTCGCCCCATCCGCAGGCGCGTGCCAATATGCCGAAAGTTAAATTCGTTTTTTGTTTCACATTTGAAAATTTTTTATAAATCATAATCAGCATTGTTTTAATTTGCATGTAAATTTTTGTAATCATTAAGAGATTATTACTCAAATACAGTAACAACTGAATTATGAATTAGATAGGGAACAAACAATAATTAAATAAACAAATTATAATTAAATGATGAATAAATAAAATAATTATGATGAATGTTTTATTTATTCATCATAATTATTTTATTAAACATAAATAAGAAACAAATAAATACAAACAAGCAAATAAATTAGATACGAACAATAAATAGATTTAAAAATCAAATAATACTTTCAGAAAAATAGGTTACTGATACAAAATTTAGCTGAATGTTTGAAGTTTTCTTCTTTTATTTTTTTGCTTAACTTGTTACTTGTAATATTATTATTTTCCCTAGAACAAAAATTATTTAAAAGAGCATTTGTAGAGCTCCAGACAAACATTCTTTGTATTTTTTCTATATTGTGACCCTCATCACAAGTGTCAACATCAAAAAGAAGCTCATAATCTGCCAAAACATTCAATGTTATATGCATGGCTAAATTTCTTTGATTTACTGAATGAAGAAAAGAATGATTTTTTATAAGTTTATCAATGACTACATAATTATAGAGAACAAAATTTATAGTTTTATCATTAGGATATAAGAGAGAACCTCTATTAATCCCCTGAAAATATCTGCTTATTTCAGGTATTTCTTCCACATTATCTCTTACACTTCCAGATATTAAATCTTTGCAACTATTGCAATAACAGCAATAACCTGCTAAGTATAGCATTACAGGTAGATCTTCTCTACAATTATTAACATCAACCTCCTTAACATCAATTCTATATTTATATATATATAACTTTTCCTCCTCTGTCACTTCATCCCAGTTTGGTTCTTGTAAACTCTTTAAATCAATTTTAATGCATTGCTGATTAAATGGTAAGCTCAATTTTAAAGCTGATTGCATTCTAATTTTTTTTCACACTCAAATACTTGCCATATCGAGATAATATACTGACCCCCACTAAGTTGTCGGTATTGACCAAACCTTGCTTCAAGGTGATCAGTTTGAAATTTGCCTGGTAATATGTACAGCATTTTCAGTTCTTCTATGCAATACTTGGTCAGTTCTAGAAATGCATAGGTTGTATGATGCAAAGCAGTGAAGGTTTCCTTTGTTAATTTGCCATTTCTTCCAGAAATTCTATTCCAAGATTCTAACCAGTCACAGAATAGAGAAATCTAAATTTTTCTTCATTCATTCTAAGTGGATTGCAGTATTTATTTCTAAGCCGACAACCTTTATATGGCGTTTTAACATTCATTATTGTCCATCAAATATAAAATATGTTTATATATTCTGCAACTTCTGCAAAATTAGGCAAATATTTCTGTTTTCCTAAAGTCTATAATCCTTGAATAGTGTATTCATTAAAAATTTGCAGAACTAAATTAACATTTTGCCTTTCAAGATTAGTAGGAGAAAGCGCCTTTGAAGTCAATTTATAACAATATTTCAAAATTGACTGAGATTCTAAGGCATGAAGTTTCTGTAAGGTAGAAAATGGGGCACTTTGGATACTATCTAATTCATGATTTCCATTATGACAAAATCTGGGGAATAGCATGCATTTATTTGCATCTTTTTGACCAAGCCAATTGTTTCTAATGTATTTTAATATATGGACTGAGTCAAAAAGGAAGAAAAGGGGTCGAGATTTTATAACTGGGTGTGGATATACAATGGAAAGCTTTGGTGGACTGTAAAAGAAAGATATAGCTTTTTTATTTATAGCATTATTATCTGTTATAATTGATAATACTTGAAAGCCTATCTCCTCTCAACCAATTATTATGCGCTTAACTATGCCAAATAGCTTCTCAGCTTTAAGACATTTAGTTGGCATAACATGCACAACATCTTTATATTGTGAGAATACACTGCTAATCATGAAAGCAAAAGCACTTGTTGCAGCTTCACTGCAGTTGTCAGATAAGCCAACAATATTACCACCCTTATAATCTAAATAAGGTTTTAGATGAATTTCATCAACAAGTAAAGATACTGTGATGTCCTTCTGCATTAGGAGCTTAAATTTATTTTTAATACACATAAGAAAATTGTTATCATGTTGCTCAATCAAAGGATTCATATATGTTGATAACTTAGTCTTTTAATGGTTGAATAGCTAGGTAAAATTATATTTTTGCTATCTCTTAACAATCTGTACCCTTTAGGGCAGCAGTTATATAACAATGAAGAAAATATAATAATTTCTGTTGAATAATCAAGCTTATTTTGTGTCATTAAATTTAGCTGCTCATATATAAATTTAATTGTATTAAAATGTTTGTTTGATTCTTCTTGCACCAATAGTAGAAATGACATTATCGATTTTAATATAAAAATCATATTTTTTGGTTCAGTTTGCTGTTGTTCTGTGTCCATTTTCTTCATGTTTTCTATCAGAATTTCAAGAGTATTTTGATCAGTTACATGTTTAGGAATCTTATAGTCCCCTATTAAATGCATTTCCCCATCTCTACAAAACACATGTACTGCAAAAATCAGATTCAATTACAAGAGACAGATTGATTTTTGGATATGGGGATTTGATGATGCTGAATATAATAAGTGTCTCTTGCTGCCTAACAAAACTCCAGTAATTTCTATCAAGAAAATTTAATTTCCCTTCTAGATCATTAACATTATGGAATTTCTTCTGCATTTTATATGCTAAGTCATCATTAATTTAAAGCACTTTTAAGAGCAGAATTCTCTAGTCGGATTCTCCTAGAGTTTGGTGATTCTCTAGAAGTATTCAATGAAGATAAATATGAGGGACAGTTTGGGAAAATTCTAGGAATAGCACCATCACGAAGATATATATTTTTTTTAGTTTAACTGCAATTGTGGCACCTTTTTTTTTTTTTTTTTTTTTTTGTCAAAAGCTGACGATTCTCTCCTTATGTCCTCCGGTAGTAGTTCATATACCTAAAAAGATTTTAAAAACCAAACCTATTGTAAATTCTTGTGAAAATCTAAGAAAATCAATCGGCAAAAATTTTCAGTAATATGAAGCATTAATTTAATAATTTTAGGAAAAGTGGAGAGAATTCAACAAAAGATTATTAATGACGAAGCTATGTACAAATAAGAGAAGAATTTTTAAAGTTTATTCATTTTTTTTAATTTAAAATGATAAATAAAAAACATTCTAATGAATAAAACAATTCTAAAAAATTGTTAAATATAATTCTAAAAAAAAATTCAATTATTTTTATGCCTATAAAAAGATTCCTTTATGAATTTATATCGAAAGTTTATTTTTTATAAAAATTAGATTTCAGCTTTTAAAAACTTTCGCAACTTTGTTTTTAATGTTTTGTGAATTATAAAGATATGAAATTATTAAATTTTAATCCTCAAAGTTTCAATTGCGTTTAATTAATAACTTTTTAAAACAACACGGTATGTGTTGTGAATTACAGACATGAAATTAATTCAATTAAAGTTTCATTTAGTCACGAATAAAACAATTCTAAAAAATCGTTAAAATTATTAGAATTATTTTTTATGCATATAAAATATTCCTTTAGGAATTCATGAATGAATTTAGGTCGAAAATTTCTTTAAAGTTTATTTCTTAAAAAATGAGTTTTTAGATTTTAAAAGCAACACGTACGAGAATGAATGTCTAAACTTTCTCGCTAGATTTATGTCTTATTAACTTTGTTATGAATTACAAAGACATGGTGTTAATTTTATCACTAAAGTTTCAATAAAATTTACTTAATTTTTAATACAAAATATACTCATTCTGCTGAATTTAGTAGGTAAAAAATGATCTCTTATTCAAACATCAGATAATTCTTTATCTTTAGGGAAAGAAAATACATGTACTTTAGGGCCGTTTTTATAATTCCCTTTGCAATTTGGTACAACACATCTATAAGGCATTGCTTTTGTTTTAAATTAATTCAATATTTAAAAGAAAGTATTAATAAACAATTTACAAGTGCCGCCGTAAAAAATCTGATACACAAAACAAACGACACGCTTCTTGAAAGTCGGACTCAATATGATGACGTCACATTTCTCCTTAACCCAATGAAACAGGCCTTCTCTATCGGTGGTCACGACCTGATACTCCCCCTGTTGCTGGCCCTGCTGCTCCACCTGCTGTTGCCCCTGCTGCTCCCCGTGGATGATGACAACGCACTGTACTTCAAACAGATCGTGATGAGCTTGTTGTACGCTTCAACACAGCTACCATTAGATCTAGAAAAGGCTTTATGTGGAGCACTAGGCCAAATGCAGGAGCAGTACGTAGTCTTGCAAAAAAATATACTACACAGTGTCTGGCCTGGCCCCTCCCAACAAGCTTCTCAAACCGACATCCCAGAGAAGTGTTTCTCTTTGTTGTTTGTGGATGAAATCATCAATGAAATTGTGCAGTGGACCAACCAAAAAATAAACATTGACGCAGCAAAATACAAGCATCAGAAGGCCACAATACAACCTACAATACGTGCCATGTTTGGGGTCCTCATTTTTAGTGGCTACAGGAGAGACAACTACTTCTCCACTAAGGAAGTCTGGAGCCTTGAAGTTGGTTCCAATTTCTACAGGACAGCTATGTCTGAGGGACGCTTTACTTTCCTCCTCAAATGCCTACGCGTTGATGACTCTAATACCAGAGAACAGCGAAGAGGAACCCACAGGTTTGCCCCAATCAGAAAGGTGTGGTATATTTTCATCGAGGCCTGTGGCACCCACTATATATCCCACACGAGTTCCTGACTGTTGATGAGCAGTTGCTTGCCTTCTGAACCTGCAGAAAATGACAAGTTCTACACGAAGCTCCGCAGCCGTCTCCAAATCACCGCTGCAGACAATGAGGTGATAGTCCTTGGCGATTTCAATGCCAGAGTGGGCCAAGATGCAGATGCCTGGAAAGGAGTACTTGGCAGACACGGCGTTGATAACTGCAATGACAACGGGCGCTTGCTGCTAGAGCTTTGCACTGAGCAGCAAATAGTCATTACCAACACCATCTTCCAGCAAAAGGACAGTCTTAAAACAACCAGTATGCATCCTAGGTCCAGACATTGGCACCTCATAGACTACGTTACAGCGAAACCTCAAAGACGTCCTTCACACCAAAGTGATGCCCAGTGCAGAATGTCACACTGACAATCGCCTAGTGCGCTGCAAACTTAGACTGCACTTCAAGACCAAACCAAGGAAGCACCCCCCCACCACCACCAAAAAAGAATTCAATCTGACCAAGATTCAGTCAGCGGGAGTGAAAGCTGACTTTCAGGCAGTCCAAGCTTGAAAACGGCGACTGTCCAGTAGACCCCTCTCCTGAAACACTCTGGGATCAACTGAACACTGCCATCCTGTTATGGGGTTTACCATCATGAAGATTAAAGACTGGTTCGTTGAGAACAACCAAGAGATTCAGGAACCTCTGGCTAAGAAGAGATCAGCCCACCAGGCCCATCTGATTCAGCCGTCATGTTCTGTGAGGAGGGATACCTTCCGTCTCATTTACAGCAACATCTATCGCAAGCTTCGAGAGATCAAAAACGAGTGGTGAACCATCCTTGCAGAGAGAACTCAGCTATGCGCAGACTTAGGTGACTACAGAGGCTTCTACGAAGCCCTCAAGGCAATGTATGGCCCTACTCACCGGGTCCATACTCCCTTGCACAGTGCGTATGGAAAGGTGATTTTCACAGATATAGCCTCCATTCTGAGCCATTGGTCTGAGTACTTCCAGGCCCTCTTCGCGCTGACTGAGTCATTCAGGACCCGACAGTCCTCCGTACCCCCTAGCAACCAGTCAAGGCAGAAATGGATGAACTACCCTCTGTGGAAGAAATTACCAAATCCATAGAGCAGTTGATGAGTGGTAAGGCAGTGAGAGTCGACGGGATTCCACCAGAGATCAAGCTCCACGAACTCCTTATCTGTTGTTGGGAGCAGGGCAAACTTCCAAGTGACCTCCGCGATGTAGTTATCGTCTCATTGTACAAGAACAACGGAGAAAAGTCAGATAGCTCCAACTATTGGGGGATTACTCTGCTATCCATCGTAGGAAAAATCCTAGCTCGTGTGCTCATGAAGATTGGTGGCCATCATCGCTGAAAACCACCTACCAGAAACCTAGTGTGGCTTCAAATCCAACAGGGATACCACAGACACTGTGTAGAACAAAGGACTGTACGTAACGTTTGCGGACTTGACACAGTAATCAGAAAGAGACTGTGGATGATAATGGAACGCCACATCTGCCCCCAAAGTTCCTCATATTGGTCATCCAACTGCACAAAGACCAGCGCAGCCAAGTCAGGTTGAACAGCGACCTATCCGTACCCTTCCCTATCGTCAACGGCGTGAAACGGGGTTGTGTCCTGGCACCGACCCTGTTTAATATCTTTTTCAGCATGATGCTTAAACAGACCACAGAAGACCTTGACGATGACGATGCTGTGTACATCTGCTACCGCCTTGACGGCAATCTGTTTAACCATAAGAGACTGCAAGCCCACACGAAGACACTTGAGCAGCTGTTCCGTGACCCTTTCTTCGCCGACGACGCTGCCCTCGTTGCCCACACCGAAAGAGCCCTGCAGCTCCTAACATCATGCCTTGCAGGGGCTGCTCAACTCTTTGGACTCGAGATCAGCTTGAAGAAGACGGAGGTCCTCCACCAGCCTGCACCCAGAGAAGAGTACTACCATCCCCACATAACCATCGGCGAGACTGAGCTGAAAACAATTCACCAGTACACTTACCTTGGATGTACATCGAATGCCAAGATCGACAGGGAAATAGACAAAAGACTGGCCAAGGCAAACAGCGCTTTTGGCAGGCTCTACAAAAGAGTCTGGAAAAGCAAGCAAGAAGAAGGGCACCAAGATTAGCGTCTATAGACCCCCTCGTACTCACCACCCTGCTGTACGGCTCTGAGTCATGGGTAACCTACCACCACCACCTATGACTCTTTCAGCGCTTTCATCAGCGCTGTCTCCGTACCATCCTCAACATTCACTGGAGTAACTACGTCATCAGATCCTCGAACATGCGAAAATCAACAGCATTGAAGCTATGTTGCTGAGCAGGGCACGTCTTCAGAATGGGGAAGCATCGCCTACCCAAGATATCCCTGTATGGCGTACTCTCCACAAAGCCACCGTGACAGGGGGCACCAAGGAAGCGTTATAAGGACTCTTCAAAAAGTCCCTCGATACCTGCCACATTGACCATTTACCAGTGATCGACACTTGCTGCTGACCAAGCCTGGCGCCGCACCGTTCACCAGGCCGTCTCCACCTTTGAGGACTCTCGCAGGACCAACCTGAAGGAGAAACGGCGCGGAAGGAAGGACCAGGAAGCCTCAGCAGCTATACCAGATCAGACCAGACCTTTAATTGCAGTCGCTGCGGCCGGACTTGCCTGTCCCGTATCGGCTTGGTCGGCCATCAGCGTGCCTGCTGTCGGCGTGGACAGCCCACTTCATAAATTTTCGTTTGCGAAGCCAAGCCAAGAGAAGAAGACAGTGAAGTACTTACACCGATTAAGAAGGCTCTAGAAAAAAAAGAACTTAAATTGATATTGAATGATCTTGTCGATTTTAAGACAGAGTTAAGGCAGTAGCATAAGATGTAAGACTATTATAATAACTTAAGGCAAACATTTCGATGTAATTTCTTGCTAAAATGGATGAATAGGAACTACAAAAGTGTAAGAAATCTTAACCTAAAATAAAAGGTACACTCGTCGTGTTTAGTCAGATGATAACTACATGACTTTCTTCTCTTTATTTGCTACCAAGTGATATCAATATGGAGACTATTGATTGTTTTTGAGAATGTTCATGTATGTCAAATTTTAACATTAATATACCCGAGCATATTATGACGATTTTTTTATATTTCCTTCATTCAAAGCAAGACAAAATTGATGAAAGTAAACAGTATGCATCAACAATTATCCTTGTTTTGTTTTACATAACCAAGCTTATGGTGTTATCAGAAGTTTTCAACTTGAAGTAGCTGTCCTTATAATAAAATACGTGGCGAAAAAGAGAATAGAAGTTATACATATTTTGTCATTTTTTTTTCTCAATTTGTTTATGCTGGTTGTCAATGATTGTTTAGCCAATTCTTTTTTTTTTCTGAGAAGAAAAGCATTAACATCTCGATCAAAATGGTGATTACCTTTGTCTTACGTTTGAAACCTTAAGAATTCTCATGATAATAGGACATGAATTACTGAAGGAAGGTTATGCAACTGAAATCGTTATGAAAGCTAACACCACGCTGGGGGACACATACTTAAATAACTGGAACAGGAATTACATAGATTATTAGCAATGAAGAGGGACACCGATCGAAACTTGAGAGAATATTATTTGCTTTAATAACAAAAAAGAGCTGTAATTCCAATCGTGAAAAACATCAATTGACAACATTCTACAAATTACACTTTCTTAAGTTAATTCAAAAGACGATTTCAAAGTTAAATTAGATTCGATTTTCAATATACGCGTGTGTGTATATGTATCTGCTGTATAGGGAGTATTTGAACAAATGTACTTACATGTATGTGTCAGTGTGTATTTGCATGAATGTGCATAATCAATCTATTTTACGCACAATTTTGGAAGATAGTATAGAGAAATATATAAAAAGACATACACAGCAAAGTTAAAAAAGCAAAGTTAAAAAAAATTGAAATGTGAAACAAGACTCGGATGCAAAAATCATTTTTTATTAATATTAAATAATCGGTCAGTTTTCATTAAGCAGTCTTTATTAATCTTTATTAATATTAATTAATCTTTATCGATCTTTTTTCGAGACATGAAGAAACGCGTGCGGCGTCCAGTTTTACCCACAAAATTGTTTTGTCAACAGTATTTACCGCTGAATAAATTTACTTTTATCTTTCCATTGACATTTCTTCAGATGCCTTTTTCTGGATAGCTGTCACCATGATTGCTAAACCTAATCCACAAGTAATGACTTTATTTGTCCCCAAATCCCCTCTTATCTCCGAATCCCCTCTTGTCTCCAAACCCGCGTTTATCTCCAAAACCTCGTTTATCACCGAAGCCTCGTTTGTCACCAAATCCACGTTTATCCCCAAAGCCTCTTTGATCGAGAAAATATCGCTTGTCACCAAATCCTCTCTTGTCCCCAAATCCTCTATTCATTAAATGAATCAATTTAGGTTCATAATTGTCCATTTGAGCAATGCTTTTCTTATCGTCAAATCCACGTTTATCCCCAAACCCACGCTTGTCACCAAATCCTCTTAGGATCGGGCGAAATTTCCCTCTATCAATATCTTCATCATTTTTCTCGTCTCGTTTGTCTCCAAATCCGCGTGTTTCCACAACAATGTGCGGTACATGAATACTTCTTTTATCACCGAAGCCTCGTTTGCCTGAACCGTCAGATTTGAAACTTTCTTCAAGAGCATCTTTGTTCATTTGATCATCATTGTAACTGTGCAGTGAAAGTAACTGTCTACTGTTGTAATTCTGAACGTAGTTGCTAGATCCACCACTCGGAGATAATGTGATGAGAAGAATAACAACAAGGATGCAGAAGCATTTGCATTGTCCCGCCATCTCTTGGCAGGCAATCTTTGATAGAGTTGATTGATCGAGACCTAAAATGAACAATGTGGAAACATATTAGTAATAAATTTAAAAAAAAAATTAAATTTAAAACAAAAACATATACAACATATAAGATGAATATTGATTTATATTAGAACACTGACATAAAGCTTTGAATTAAAAATAAATGCTATAAGAATAAAAATGTTCACCAGAAATAGAAATAAAAAGAAAGAAGATATAATTTATAAAGAACTGTATTAAAATGAAAGTATTACTTGAAATTCTTAAAGAAATATTTAAATTACAACTATTGGGTTGCTAAGAAATTTCCTGAAAATTAGAAATTTCAAACGAAAAATGTTCGCAAACCTCTACTCAGTTCAGGGTCTTTTTATATGAATTTTATCAGACAGGGTGTTTTAATCATAATGCATGTGGATTCGTTTGGAATAATTTGTTTGTCTTTTTTGTTTGCTTTTTTTTTCTTATTTCAGTCGTGTCCCATGTAGACATCAAATCCCAAGAAAACAGCATACAATAATCATATAGAATTTTCTTAATTTCGATCAGTTTCACTTGCATCAAATGTAAGAAAAGAAAAATATTGATTTCTTTTTACGAATATTTCAGAATTATTCTGAGTAATTTCAAAGTGAATCTCACTTCAACCAAATTTGTGCCCCGAAACAATACAATGTTCGCAGAAGGAACTGTCGGATGCACGAAAACTTTACAAGCAGTTCAGCAAATTCTAGTATTAAGTAGCTGTCATCGGAACTGGTCGTGAAAGCCATCCAACCGAAAAACGACGTGACTTACTCAGTTATTTGGCTGCAATAAAGTTTCTAAAATCAGAATGGAAACAACCGAAATTGCCATTTGGATCCGTGCACACATTTGATTTCTTTGAATTACGGACATGAATTACTGCAACAAATGATGTAAAATGATATCCGTACATCAATATGGCACACAATAAAATGTATAGTCAAAATGACATCAGCATCATAGCCTCTTCAAAGCCAAAGTCAAATCAGAATAAAATGTTTTGTTGCGGCTTGAGAAGGGTACAAAGTATTAATTGCTTAATCAAAGTAAATCTTTCACTGCTACTGTGAATTGTGATTGGAGCAATTGCTATAAAAATGCTAGTAATTGCATACATTCTGTGTGTTAGATGACAATATGTCATATAGGATATAAATGAATGGAATCATCCGTTTATGTAAATAAACGGAGTTAAGCGGAGGTGAGGAGAGTTAGCATTATGTCCATTGCTAAGCGTACCTTCGTGTAGTAAACCTTCTATTTTATTACTTACCTACGAATTTGTCTTCCTTATCTGTCTGTTATCTCGAAAACACGAGATACAACACAATGCCATACTATAACGTTGCATAGATGACCTATAAAAAAACTTTTATTGTTGGGGACGGATATTCTGCCACAGTCTCTCTTTTCGACTGACTTGGAGTTTTATGATAATCACACACTCCACTTTCTTCGATTTGAAACCGACGTCAAAAGGAAAATTATAAAATCACAATTATGTATTTCTTTTGGGTGCGTCTGTATCTGAGAGAGAGAAAGAGAAAACGAGAGAGAGAGAGAAAACTGTGCATGATGTTTGAATAAATAATCCAAAATCAAAGGGAATTGAAAGATAAAAATATAAAGTTAATTAAAACCAGATTTTAGAAAACATTTTTTTTATTAATTAGCAACTAAATTGTGAAGAGTTTCCTAATTGGCACTGCGTATGAGGATGAAACGATATTTTATTTATTTTCCTTCTTTAGGTTTTTCTACCTACCGATATAGAAAATAAACAGGAACGATTCAGTTCATGAAGACATAAGGAATTTGAGTGGAAAAAAACACCGCAAATGTTTTGAAATACTGGAAAGAGATTTCGTTAGAAATGAAAGAAACACAAGGGAAGAATAACCCAAAGAAACAAGGACGGTTTTGAAGGTTAGACTAAACAGCAAAAATTTTATCACATACATAAACTCATGAAAAAAAACTATCGACAAATATTCTCGATTGCATTTATAGAGAATATTATAAAAATGAAGAAATGAGACACTGAATCACATATTAAGTGAATGCGTCAAGGTAATTTAGAATGATTATATAAATAAGCAAGACTGCGTGTGATGGGTCATCCATAGTGAACTGTCCAAAAGACTACGATTTGACTGTACAAACCAAATCGACAAACCAGAATTTGTATTCACTAGGACTTTGAGATTCAAATGGATCACCCAAACCAAGCCAGAAAATCGAGAC